CCTCATTTTCCCCCTCCCTCCCCGCTCCCCCCTCCCTCATGAGCCCTTGATAGTTTGTAAATTGGTATTTTGTCATATCTTGCCCTGTCCGACGTAGAGACTGGGAATCTTTACATGAGCTGGTAGCCTCACCTTTCTCCTGCAGGATAACGTGTGCATTTGAACTGATGACCTTATGGTATGCCTTACCCACAGTACCACCACCAGGACTTCTTTGAGTTTAGTCCAGTGTTTCCCAAGAGGAGTCCTGGTAGCGTAGTGGTTACCGGCCAGGCTTCTAACTTTGAGGTCAGCAGTTCGAGACCACCAGCCACTCTGAGGGAGAAAGACGAGACTTTCTATTCCCAGAAAGCGTTACTGTCTTGGAAACCCACAGGAGCGATTCTACCCTGTCCTATAGGGTCGCCACTATGAGTCGGGGTTTGGGGGCATGTTTCCCCAAGTGGGTGATATTACCACCTGTGGGGCACTAGAATGATCGGGGTGGGGGTAGGCTGCCAGAGCAGATGCCTAAACTTTGTCCTGGATTGATGGGCTATAGTACAAAAGTCTTTAATTCTGAAAAGGAGGCAGTCGGCGCAATAACGGTGGGAGCTTATGGTTTCGTTCCACCCACTGCCCCTGTGTCGATTCTCGTTCATAGCGACCCTGTAAGACACAGTAGAACACCACAGAGTTTACGAGGCTGGTGCACACTGTCTCATTGGTGTGCTCAAACCACTGGCCCTAGGTTTAGCAGCCCAGCACTTAACCCACTGCATCACCAGGGCTCCTTGCCTTACTCCCTGCCATCCGGGCCATGCCTGCTCATAGTGATTCTGACTCACCATCAGCGTGGAACTGCCTCCCGTGGCTTTCTGAGGCTGTCAATCTTGAGAGGGGTAGAAGGCCTCATCGTTCTCCTGTGGAGCGGCTGGGGGTTTCGAACTGCTGAACTTGAGGTCTGCCACCTGAAGGATCACCCGGGACCACACCAGGGCTCTTTATGGCTCCCCAAACCAGACTCACTCTCATTCAACTTACAGCCACCCTATAGCACAGGGTAGAACTGTCCCTGTCCGTTTCCGAGACTGTCACTCTTTACGGGAGTAGAAAGCCTCATTTTCCTCCAGAGGAGCAGCAGGTGGTTTAGAACTGCTGAACTTGCAGTTCGCAGCCCAACTGGTAATGCACTCGGACCAGGACTCCCCTCCTTACCAAAGAAGGTGCTTATTAATGCAGTGAATGGATGAATGAATGCCAGGGCCAAAGGGGTCTGTTCTTTGTTGCTCTGGGGGTTGGGGGGCGGGGCATTCCGACCCATGGAGACCTCATGTGTGCACCCAAAGCCCACATCACCAGGCCTTTCTTGCTCG